TGTGTGTGTGTGTGTGTGTGTGTGTGCGTAAAGGTAACATTATGGTACCCCCAGTCTGTCTCTCTCTCTTACTTCCCGTCTATAATAATTGTCTATGTCTGTATTACATTCTTGTGCGTATGAACTGACACATACACACACATTCACACACACATACACACACACACAAACACACCCCCCACACACTCACACACACATACACACACAAACACACACCCCACACACTCACACACACATACACACACAAACACCCCCCCACACACTCATACACAAACACACACCCCACATACTCACACACACATACACACACACAAACACACACCCCACACACTCACACACACACATACACACACAAACACACACCCCACACACTCACACACACATACACACACAAACACCCCCCCACACACTCATACACAAACACACACCCCACATACTCACACACACATACACACACACAAACACACACCCCACACACTCACACACACACATACACACACAAACACACACCCCACACACTCACACACACACATACACACACAAACACACACCCCACACACTCACACACAAACACACACGTCATAACCGCACCAGGTATGTACACATCCTGTACAAAACACAGATATAGTATGAATCTATCGTGGATCTGAATGTGAGTTCACAAAGGTCACAGCAGTTTGTTATCCATAGTCTCATGCGTACAATACACCAAAAAACTTGGTAAGTATCGTTTACCTTAGTCTAACTTCACATTCTCTTGAAAAATAAATACAATAAAATATTATTTTGATTTAGATAATCTTGTCGTTTGTAGATATTATTCATTCTAATCTCCTATGTTTGACGTATTCGCTACGTTTCAATACAGGCTAAGTTTGAGTTTTAAATAATTCTTAAATTTCCATAGCCCTCGAGTTCTTATTTTCTTCTTCAATGGCAGTCAAACATCTTCCACATTTAGATCTTCTCGAAAACAGTACAAAGCAGTACATTTCCCAAATGCACCTCTGGCTTGTAATGTACTCTAAGTGGCATCATAACGTGTCTACTGAAACAGCAGCTGAACTTCTGCCCATATGTTAAACATCGTCTGGCTGGTCGAGTCTGCATAATTGCGTCAGTTCTGGACATCCGACCTTTTTAAAGATCACACGAAACTAAATGAAACAAGAGTTCAGTTTCCTTTCCTCAGGGCTCCTACCGTCATAGACTATTTCTCCTCTCTGTCGTGTACTTTGCCAAATCAATATTCCTTCATCTCCAAATCATAATCATAATATGGAGTCAGAGATCGCTAAGGGTTAATCATTTACGTAACATATTTATTTGAAGGAAAGCAGTAGTAGTAGTAGTAGAAGTAGTAGCAGTAGCAGTAGCCGTAGCAGTAGCAGTAGTAGTAGTAGTAGTAGTAGTAGTAGTAGTAGTAGTAGTAGTAGTAGTAGAAGTATCACTCATTTTGTTTTAAAGAGTTCTGTAACTTGCTATTGGGGGAAAATGATTAAAATTGAAAGCAGTTTCAATCTTACATGCGTAACTCAAGCAGGAGGTTGGCGGGTGCTCTGGGGTGTGGTTTGTTCCTTTTTTCCCTATTAACAACCAACCGTCCTTATCTCTCCCTGTTCTTTTTTGTGTATGTTACTCTCTTGTAACACCTCTAATCTTCGGGGCTATAAATATATGATCTATTTGTGTTGCAAGTGCCGTTAAACCCAAGCATAACACAGACTTGAAGAATATGAAAAAAATTCAACGAGTATGGTATAAAGCAGGAAATCACCACAGAATATGACAATTACTGAGGGTAATCAAATACAAATATATATATATATATATATATATATATATATATATATATATATATATATATATATATATATATATATATATATATACATACACCATGCAATGACTCATATCCCGAAGAACAGCGACACCAGTTCTATGATCAACTGAGTGATCTTTTAAACACCGTGGATGACAAAGATAATGTGACAATGATAGGGGACTTTAACGGCAGAGTGGAAACAAGGAAGTCGACGTGGGAGAGATACATGAGGCCACACAGTGACAGGGAAACAGATCAAAACAGCAATGGGGAAATGCTATTACAGTTGTGTGCAGAACATGAGCTCGTCATATCAAATACCTTCTTCCAACACAAAAGGAGTCAAGTTAAAACTTGGTACAAATGCAATTATCTAAAGATTGCATCACAAATTGATTTTATCCTAGCCAAAAGATCGAAACTGAGAAAAATCAGAGACTCAAGAGTGATTCCCATCTACATCACAGACACTGACCACACACAGACCAGTCATCATGACTATTGACACACCAAACAGGAAAAGTCCAGAAGCAAAGAAACAATGAGAAGCCGTAAATCTCAGAAATATAAATGACAATAACAAGGATAAGATTACATGAACGTTTGAAAGATGTATTTCACAAATTTCCCCCAAAATTGGGAGACATGGAAGAGGAATGGAGCCACTTCAATGCATGTGTGTACAGAGCACTAAAAGAAGAGTTCGGCACCAGGAAAACAAGAGGGCAGAAAAAGAAAACAACTATATGGTGGAATGACCAAGTGAAGGAAGCCGTCCAACTGAAGAAAAAGGCTTTCAAAAAGTGGTAGAAATCAAAGACGGAGGAAGATTACATCCTATACAGAAAGGACCGTCGCTATACAACAAGGGTAGTAAAAAAAGGTAAGAACAGATCCTGGTCTGTATATGGAGAACAGCTGGTAACAAAATGTAAAGAAAACCCTTGAGAGTTTTACTAGAAAGTTAAAAAAAGCATGAGGATGCGGTAAGAACCATTCAACCAAACTGAAATAGTCAATGATGAGCACGGAAAACCCTATTTTCAGAAAGCCAAAGATTAAGGAAAGATGAAACGCTATTTCCAGGAGCTGCAGAATCCTACTGCAGAAACAACAGCAAACAGCTTCTCACCGAAAGAAACCACACCAGAACCATCACTACTGCAGAGTGAAACCCAACATGTTATAAAGAATAGCCCCACAAACAAAGCGATAGGCGTTGAAAACATCATAGAATCACAGCAGAAGAGATCAAACTATACGACCATATCGGAGAACTCTGGCTGGAGGATATTTAACCTGGCCTGG